GCTGCTGGGTGGGCGCCCGCGCGTCCCCAGCTCAGATGCACCTCCTCCCTCGGCGCAGACGGGCCGCCCGCGCAGCCTGAGCGCGTGACGGGCCTCGCACGCAGTACTCACGTAGCCGTCGAGCCCCCAGTTGTCGTTTTCGAACTTGCTGACGAAAACGTCCACGGAGCCTCTGATCTGGAAAGCCTTCAGGAGCAGGTGCGCCTCCTCCCTCCTGTACACGCCTGCGGAAAGGGCAGAGGCTGTCGCAGCGCGGCGCGGGCGGCGCGAGCCCCCTGGGGCAGTGCGGGGGGCGATGCCATCGCGAAGGGAGGGGTTTTTTCTTTAGTTCTAACTTTGGCCCGTTTTTCCTTAAAATCACTTCTTATTAAAGTCCTTTTTCCCAAAGACAGGCCGGTGCCTGTCTCCTCCGCCTGCGGCTCTGCGTTTCGGCATCTGATTTAACCTCTAAGGCTCTGAACCCCAGTTCTACAAGCCGTGGGTGGAGAGGACAGCGTATATTTATGACCTTGCCATTTCATGCCGACAAACAGCAGCGCCCCACAGAACAGTGGTGCCCTCGCTGGCGCCCCGCACGCCAAGTCCCCTGCACGCCACTCTCGCCCCGGACTGGAGCTGGGGGTGGCAGCCCCCGGCCCGCACACCTCTCCCGAGACCCCCCACCAGGCCGACTCGGGGACACCAGATGCACCCGAATCACATCGAGCATCTTCTTTGGGAGAAAAAAGTCCAAACTCCACGAAGAGAAATATCGTCCAACGCAGTTGGGTGAGACCCGGGGATCTGAAGATCAGAACGATTTCTCAGTTTCTCCTGACATGTGCCTGGAGCCGAGCGCCTGGTCCGGTCACTTACACGCTCGCAGGGGTGGGGCGGTCGGTGGACCCGAGCCCCTGCACTCACAGATACACGGAAGGACATTGCTTTTCCTAAACCCGGCGTGTGCCCTGGGTTTAGACGTTTTCCCGCCTGAGGGGGCTCAGGGTGAGGAGTGAGGGGTGGGGGAGGACGTGACTCACTATCCTGTTTTCTAAAGGTTAATCCTGTGAGAGTGGTTGCCATTTTGGGGTCCGTGGTTTTCAGACCCCGGGACTTGTGGACGGCTCAGGCCGAGTTTGAAACTCAGGAGTCAGTCTGCGAGGAAGGATGCACAGGTGTAGGAGCGAGAGGGATTTAAATAAAAGAGACACTAGGTTTAGTCGGGAAGGCGAGTCTGTGGGTGACTGGGTGTCAGGGGGGGCTTCAGATTCCGAACGGCGAAGTTCCGTTTGCCGGGTCCAAATCCTGCCTCTGCCGACTCACCTCAGGAAGGACACCGAATGTTTTTCTCTCTCTTTTAGTCAGGATAAAAAACATGTTTAATAAGAATACTTACATCACAGGACGGATGTAAGAATAAAAAAACCAAAATGTGTCAAGTACTTAAAATGGTGTTTGGCCTATAAATCAGAGCTGTTATTTAATAACCGTGGGATGACCAAAAAAAAAAAAAAAAAAAAACTCACCAGGAACAAATGAGTTAAACAAAAAAGAGACATCTAGGGTTAGGTTTAGGGTTAAAAATATATATCAAAGAATACGCTTCGGAGACGTGCGTACCGACCGGGACGTAAATCTCACGTCCTTGACTTAACATGTCACGTGCATGAGCTTGAGCAAACGAACTCGCTGTTTCGTGCGGTTCTGTGACCTTTGGAATGAGCACGTGGCACTGACGTGGCACTGACGTGGCACAGGTATCGACACGAGCCGATGCGCATGCGCGCGGAGCCCACGCGACGGGGACGAGCTCCCCGCGCTTGGTCCCACCGGAGCGCAGGGCTCGGGACCTACCTGTCAACTTCAGCTGCACCCGAGGGCCCTCGGCGAAGGTCGCGTTCACCTTGCTGCTCGTGGCGTTGAACCAGTCGACGGTTAGAGTTGCGGGCTGTCTTTTCCCTAAATACTCGTAATACCCCTTCCACACCGAGTTGACGAAAAACACATCTGCGGGAACTGTGGGGAGGGAAGCAGACGGC